AACAAAAACAAGGGAACCAACAGTTAGCGTAATGGCTATGTCGCTGGACTCCCACGTAGTCGACCGCGGTTCGCGTCCCAGACCCAGTGGCTTAAAACTCAAGCCGGGCACGTGTGCGTGTGTGCCCAAGATCCCGAGAGGAGAACGGAGGAGAAAGGATTGCGGCGTGACCATCCCCCCTGGGGGGTGATTTCTCACTTTCTGTCTCTATGTCTCTCTCTCTGTCTTTCTGGTGAGCGCACGCGCCCTATAGCAAAAACCTCTCAAAAAAAAAAAAAAAAAGGTGTGTCGGACCAGCAGGTGACGCAGTGGTTAAGGCACTGGACCTCACATGGTTGTCTCTGGGAAGAGGGTTCTAGTCAGACTCGGTGTCTTGAGAAACACACTGGATGCCTGTGCATGCGTGCCCAAAATCCTGAAAGGAGAATGGATGAGGTTTGGCCATACCCCAGGGCAGTGATTTCTCACTTCCGCCCTCTCTCTCTATCTCTCTTCAGCAAGCTCAAGTACCCTACAGCAAACAAAAAAAGCAAAATACAGTTTAAAAAAAATGTTTCCTCTGTTTCTTTCTAACAGGGCTGACACAAGTTTGGCCAAAGTGTGCTTGGCATGAACATGTGAATACGCAACTACACATGTTCATTCTACCTGTGTAACAGTATTTGACAGTCTGGACCAAAGCTTACCAGTATACAAAAACATGAGTCGTGTGTAATTTCAATTTTCAAGTTAGCCATTATTTTCACAATAGAGCGGTAACTTCTCATCTGTGGTTTCACTTTCTGTGGATTCAGGTACTAGTGGCCAATTTCGGCCCACAAATATTAAATGGAAAATTGCAGAAATAAACTACTCAAAAGTTTCAAATTGTACACCATTCTGACTAGCATGGTGAAATCTTGCGCCAACCTACTCCATCCCACCTGAGACGTGAATCCACCTTTTGTCCAGCCTATCACCTGCCCCTGAGTCACTCAGCAGCCACTCAGTTATCAGATCACAGTAATATAACATACATAAGGCTCAGTAATATCTACTATTTCAGGAATCCACTGGATCCAGGATCTCAGAACATATACCCCACACATAAAGGGAGACTATTATAATAGGTTTTATTTAACCCAGTATATGAAAAATGTTAACATTTCAACATGTAATCAATATTCAAAATAAAATTACTCTTGAGAGATTCCCAAATGCTTAAATTAAGTACATTTTCAAAACCTGGCATGTTATTTTCCACTTTCAGCAAGCACTAGTCACATTTCAGGTGTTCAGTAACCATTTGTGGCTAGTGGCACTATTTTGCAAATCTAGATAACCCTAAAGCCACTTCATTGTTAAGATTTATAGTTAAGAGTACTTTGTTGCAAAGTACTCTTATTCCCCAGCTGGTCACTATAACCAATCTTTTCAAGTGAACAAGTTGCAGTTTGAAAACCAGCAACATTCAATGCATGTCTATGTCCAAAATGCACACACCATAGACCATGCATACACCATACACCAGTGGAATGGAGATCAGGAGGGCTGGATCCCACATGGTCAACTACATGGTTCAAGTCCTGGACCTGGTGACTTGTAAAACATGCCAGGCACCTGTGCATGTGTACCCAAAATCCTGAAAATGGAGAAGAAGGGGTTGTGATGTGGCCATTCCCTCTGAAGGTGATTTCTCATTTTTTTTTTCCTCTCTCTCCAGTAAGCACACACGTCCTATAGCAAAATTTTAAAAATAAAATAGAAACACACACACACACACACACACACACACACCCTGGAAGACACCCAGCATCGATGCTTCAGTATCTATACTTTCACCAGTTTCTACTCCCGCCCACACAGGAAAAGAAAAAGACATGATCTGTGCACAGGCACTGAACATGCCCCAGCAGAACTCCGAGTCTGCTTCTCCGCAAGCCTGCCCCTCCGTATCACCTAGAGTGATTAATGCCAAGACCCTTCTCTCCATCGCCTGAGAAAGAACCTGCAGTCACCTTTACCTTCAACTTCCCTTCCCCACTTCCTGAGTCCCATCTGTCTCTAAGTCCTATTAGGTCCCTCAACTCCAACTCTGTCTTTCTTTGAGAGAGTGAAACTTCTGTTATAGGGCATGTGTGCTCGTCAAAAAGACAAAGAGAGCGGACCAGCAGTTGGTGTAATGCTTATGTCGCTGGACTCCCACATAGTTGACTGCGGTTCGAGTCCCA